GAAAATTTTCGGTGACGAATTCCAACCAGAACGACTGACCCTCTAGATGATAAAAACAACAGAACATACGTGCTTTCTTTCTGCAATCCATGCAATTTTTTGTTTGATGAGCTTCTGTGCCGCATTACGGAGAAGCAGTTTTCCAACGTGCTTCCGAAATAATCGTGCACTACTTCTAAGACTGTAGAAAAAAAAAAAAATCTCTAAGCTGTATTCTTAAGCTGTAAAATGTATTTTGAAGTACATTGATCACATTTAATCAATTTTAATGTATTTTTTCGGTGAGCAGCCAGATTGGTCATGTATACGAATTCCAAATCGATTGCAATTAAACATTTCTAAATAATGGTGGAGTATACGTTATAACACAACAACGGTGTGGAACGTCCTAACTGACCATCCCTAACATGCACGTAATAAGACGACATCCCCCCCTACGACTCACCCCATCAGGCTGACAATCCTCACCGTATGTGACTTCTAACAAAGATTTTATTTCGACCTTTTCTCACTAAGTTATATTTTAAAAACTAAAATACTTGCATAATGTCACCAAGTCTCCTCCTCAGTAGATAACCGCTCACGAACGCAGTCTTCCCTATATGTATCCCCAAAAGTATACGCACGATCACCATATAAAGCTCTAACTTTTGTATTATCGACTTCAATACCTAACTGGAATAAAACATTTTTCTGATTTTTTGTTTCAGTACCTAGTTTATTATGTAAATCTAAATATTCTGAGGAGGAAAATTCTGAATATTAAAGTGTGCCAATAATTACCTCATATCTGGACGCTCTTCAATTCCAGGTCCTCGTCATGTAAATGTTTAGAGTTATAAGTTTTAGAAGCTAGATTTTCAAAATATCTCGGCCCTGAAACATTATCGAAAACCAGACTCCTGCACGCTAAATAGAAGTTCCAGTTAGCATGAGCCCTATCACATTCTAATCCATACACAAACTGATATATTTTCCTAAAAAAATATTCGAAGTCACAGCTTGAATACCTAGCTAATAGAGGTATCAGCCATTCAGGTTTTCCCCGAAAATTTTCGGTGACGAATTCCAACCAGAACGACTGACCCTCTAGATGATAAAAACAACAGAACATACGTGCTTTCTTTCTGCAATCCATGCAATTGTTTGTTTGATGAGCTTCTGTGCCGCATAACGGAGAAAAGCATGTTTCCAACGTGCTTCCGAAATAATCGTGCACTACTTCTAAGACTGTAGAAAAAAAAAAATCTCTACAGACTTTTATTCTTAAAGCTGTAAAAGTATTGTGAAGTACATTGATCACATTTAATCAATTTTAAATGTATTTTTCGGTGAGCAGCCAGATTGGTCTTGTATACGAATTCCAAATCACATTGATTGCAAATTAAACATTTCTAAATAATGGTGAGTATACGTTACTAACACAACAACGGTGTGGAACGTCCTAAACTGACCATCCCTAACATGCACGTAATAAGACGAATCCCCCCTCTAATGCTCACCCCATCATGCTGACAATCCTCATGTATGTGACTTATAACAAAAGATTTTATTTCGACCTTTTCTCACTAAGTTATATTTTAAAAACTAAAATACTTGCATAATGTCACCAAGTCTCCTCCTCAGTAGATAACCGCTCACGAACGCAGTCTTCCCTATATGTATCCCCAAAAGTATACGCACGATCACCATATAAAGCTCTAACTTTTGTATTATCGATTTCAATACCTAACTGGAATAAAACATTTTTCTGATTTTTTGTTTCAGTACCTAGTTTATTATGTAAATCTAAATATTCTGAGGAGGAAAATTCTGAATATTAAAGTGTGCCAATAATTACCTCATATCTGGACGCTCTTCAATTCCAGGTCCTCGTCATGTAAACGTTTAGAGTTATAAGTTTTAGAAGCTAGATTTTCAAAATATCTCGGCCCTGAAACATTATCGAAAACCAGACTCCTGCACGCTAAATAGAAGTTCCAGTTAGCATGAGCCCTATCACATTCTAATCGATACACAAACTGATATATTTTCCTAAAAAAATATTCGAAGTCCAAGCTTGAATACCTAGCTAATAGAGGTATCAGCCATTCAGGTTTTCCCCGAAAATTTTCGGTGACGAATTCCAACCAGAACGACTGACCCTCTAAGATGATAAAACAACAGAACATACGTGCTTTCTTTCTGCAATCCATGCAATTGTTTGTTTGATGAGCTTCTGTGCCGCATAACGGAGAAAGCATGTTTTCCAACGTGCTTCCGAAATAATCGTGCACTACTTCTAAGACTGTAGAAAAAAAAAATCTCTAAGCTTGTATTCTTAAAGCTGTAAAATGTATTTTGAAGTACATTGATCACATTTAATCAATTTTAAATGTATTTTCGGTGAGCAGCCAGAGTGGTCTTGTATACGAATTCCAAATCACATTGATTGCAATTAAACATTTCTAAATAATGGTGGAGTATACGTTATAACACAACAACGGTGTGGAACGTCCTAACTGACCATCCCTAACATTCACGTAATAAGACGACATCCCCCCTCTACCGCTCACCCCATCATGCTGACAATTCTCACCGTATGTGACCTTAGAACAAAAGATTTTATTTCGACCTTTTCTCACTAAGTTATATTTTAAACAACTAAATACTGGCATAATGTCACCAAGTCTCCTCCTCAGTAGATAACCGCTCACGAACCGCAGTCTTCCCTATATGTGATCCCCAAAAGTATACGCACGATCAACCATATAAAGCTCTAACTTTTGTATATCGACTTCAATACCTAATGGAATAACACATTTTTCTGATTTTTTGTTTCAGTACCTAGTTTATTATGTAAATCTAAATATTCTGAGGAGGAAATTCTGAATATTAAAGTGTGCCAATAATACCTCATATCTGGACGCTCTTCAATTCCAGGTCCTTGTCATGTAATGTTTAGAGTTATAAGTTTTAGAAGCTAGATTTTCAAAATATCTCGGCCCTGAAACATTATCGAAAACCAGACTCCTGCACGCTAAATAGAAGTTCCAGTTAGCATGAGCCCTATCACATTCTAATCGATACACAAACTGATATATTTTCCTAAAAAAATATTCGAAGTCACAGCTTGAATACCTAGCTAATAGAGGTATCAGCCATTCAGGTTTTCCCCGAAAATTTTCGGTGACGAATTCCAACCAGAACGACTGGCCCTCTAGATGATAAAAACAACAGAACATACGTGCTTTCTTTCTGCAATCCATGCAATTGTTTGTTTGATGAGCTTCTGTGCCGCATAACGGAGATAGCATGTTTTCCAACGTGCTTCCGAAATAATCGTGCACTACTTCTAAGACTGTAGAAAAAAAAAAAATCTCTAAGCTTGTATTCTTAAAGCTGTAAAATGTATTTTGAAGTACATTGATCACATTTAATCAATTTTAAATGTATTTTTCGGTGAGCAGCCAGATTGGTCTTGTATACGAATTCCAAATCACATTGATTGCAATTAAACATTTCTAAATAATGGTGGAGTATACGTTATAACACAACAACGGTGTGGAATGTCCTAATTGACCATCCCTAACATGCACGTAATAAGACGACATCCCCCCTCTACCGCTCACCCCATCATGCTGACAATCCTCACCGTATGTGACTTATAACAAAAGATTTTATTTCGACCTTTTCTCACTAAGTTATATTTTAAAAACTAAAATACTTGCATAATGTCACCCAGTCTCCTCCTCAGTAGATAACCGCTCACGAACGCAGTCTTCCCTATATGTATCCCCAAAAGTATACGCACGATCACCATATAAAGCTCTAACTTTTGTATTATCGACTTCAATACCTAACTGGAATAAAACATTTTTTCTGATTTTTTGTTCAGTGCCTAGTTATTATGTAAATCTAAATTTCTGAGGAGAAAATTCTGAATATTAAAGTGTGCCAATAATTACCTCATATCTGGACGCTCTTCAATTCCAGGTCCTCGTCATGTAAAGGTTTAGAGTTTAAGTTTTAGAAGCTAGATTTTCAAAATATCTCGGCCCTGAAACATTATCGAAAACCAGACTCCTGCACGCTAAATAGAAGTTCCAGTTAGCATGAGCCCTATCACATTCTAATCGATACACAAACTGATATATTTCCTAAAAAATATTCGAAGTCACATCTTGAATACCTAGCTAATAGAGGTATCAGCCATTCAGGTTTTCCCCGAAAATTTTCGGTGACGAATTCCAACCAGAACGACTGACCCTCTAGATGATAAAAACAACAGAACATACGTGCTTTCTTTCTGCAATCCATGCAATTGTTTGTTTGATGAGCTTCTGTGCCGCATAACGGAGAAAGCATGTTTTCCAACGTGCTTCCGAAATAATCGTGCACTACTTCTAAGACTGTAGAAAAAAAAAATCTCTAAGCTTGTATTCTTAAAGCTGTAAAATGTATTTTGAAGTACATTGATCACATTTAATCAATTTTAAATGTATTTTTCGGTGAGCAGCCAGATTGGTCTTGTATACGAATTCCAAATCACATTGATTGCAATTAAACATTTCTAAATAATGGTGGAGTATACGTTATAACACAACAACTTTGTGGAACGTCCTAACTGACCATCCCTAACAGTCACGTAAAAAGACGACATCCCCCCTCTACCGCTCACCCCATCATGCTGACAATCCTCACCGTATGTGACTTATAACAAAAGATTTTATTTCGACCTTTTCTCACTAAGTTATATTTTAAAAACTAAAATACTTGCATAATGTCACCAAGTCTCCTCCTCAGTAGATAACCGCTCACGAACGCAGTCTTCCCTATATGTATCCCCAAAAGTATAAGCACGATCACCATATAAAGCTCTAACTTTTGTATTATCGATTTCAATACCTAACTGGAATAAAACATTTTTCTGATTTTTTGTTTCAGTACCTAGTTTATTATGTAAATCTAAATATTCTGAGGAGGAAAATTCTGAATATTAAAGTGTGCCAATAATTACCTCATATCTGGACGCTCTTCAATTCCAGGTCCTCGTCATGTAAACGTTTAGAGTTATAAGTTTTAGAAGCTAGATTTTCAAAATATCTCGGCCCTGAAACATTATCGAAAACCAGACTCCTGCACGCTAAATAGAAGTTCCAGTTAGCATGAGCCCTATCACATTCTAATCGATACACAAACTGATATATTTTCCTAAAAAAATATTCGAAGTCACATCTTGAATACCTAGCTAATAGAGGTATCAGCCATTCAGGTTTTCCCCGAAAATTTTCGGTGACGAATTCCAACCAGAACGACTGACCCTCTAGATGATAAAAACAACAGAACATACGTGCTTTCTTTCTGCAATCCATGCAATTGTTTGTTTGATGAGCTTCTGTGCCGCATAACGGAGAAAGCATGTTTTCCAACGTGCTTCCGAAATAATCGTGCACTACTTCTAAGACTGTAGAAAAAAAAAATCTCTAAGCTTGTATTCTTAAAGCTGTAAAATGTATTTTGAAGTACATTGATCACATTTAAT